CATTTTCCAGACCTGCCTAAGGAACACATTTTTATCGTCAGTTCATTCAGCTACTGACTGATCCATCCATCTATAGAATGTGCTTACTTTAAAAGCCTGAGATTAATTTAGCCCCAAATAACATGACAGAGAGATTAAACACATTTTTAAATAATTTAAGTCAAGAATACAATATTCAAATGAATTTGTCACAGAAGAAACACTCCGGGTTGTCATCTTTTCAGTCAAACTGCATAAGTGAACATTTATTAAAACAATTTTTAAATATGATAAGCACTTATTTTTACACCACCACAACCCCTCCCACCCCCCCCCATTACAATGTACTTTTAATCTCACCAAAATCGAGCTGTAAAGAAAATTTTCTTTGTCAACACAGGGAACAATATTCCTGCATATCTGACAAGAAAGGATTCCCTAATTCCATAGTACTTCACTGACTGACCCCTTCCAGTGCTTAACTACACTCACACTTGGAAAGTTTATCCAAACATCTATCCCACATGTCTTTTTCTGAAAATAAATCATGGATCTTGCTTTGAAATTGTAAGGCCACAACTTTGCAGGCAGAAGCAATATAAAATTATCTTCACATTGCTCCGCTATTTCTGTTCTACTAATCCTCATGTGTGCAAATACATTATAACTATTATTTATTCTTCTAGACAGAAAGGCTTAATACAGCCTTAACTAGGAAAACGAAGTTAGCTGTCAACCTAATAAATAAATCTGTGCTCAGCAACAAAAGTATACTTAAGATTCCTCAAAATTTTGATATTTTTGAGAAAAATATATAAATTGTAGCTGAACAACGGCACCTAATTTATTTAAAGAATCCCATCATTGTACTACTCTATGACTTCAAAAACTTTTTCTTAATTGCAGTAGCCAGTTTCATAAATGTGGGCATATGCATTTGATTCAATGTATATAGCATTGCTGAATAAATATTTAGAAAGGAACAGAGCTTTCATAATACTAAGAAATTTTCATAATATAAGGTACAAGGTACAAATAGGTATTAGGGCTTGTGGATCCTAACACTGTTCATCACTTTCTTGTACAGTCATGAGGCAAGTATTTCTTCTACTCTAGCTGTAGAGTAGTAGCTAGGAATAAGGGAATTATTCCTATTCCTATAAAAAGGGAATACAGTTATCAAACAGTTAAAGTCATTTACTCAATGTGTCAGTGTGTCTTCCCCTCTGCTCTGCTGTTGAGACCCCACCAGGAGTACTGCGTACAGTTCTGGTCCCCCAACATAAGGACATGGAACTGTTGGAGCAAATCCAGAGGGCCACAGAGTTGCTAAGAGGACTGGAGCACCCCCCTATGAAGACAAGCTGAGAAAGCTGGGACTGTTCAGACTGGAGAGAAGGTTGTGTGGAGACCTCATAGCGACCTTCCACTATCTGAAGGGGGCCTACAGGGAAGCCAGAGAGGGACTCTTCATTAGGAACTGTAGTGACAGGAGTTATGGGTACAAACTGAAAGAGAGGAAATTTAGATTAGATATTAGGAAGAAACTCTCTATGTGAGGGTGGTGGAGCACTGGAACAGGTTGCCCAGGGAGTTTGTAGATGCCCCAGTCCAGAAAAAGCCTTGAGCAACCTGGTCTAGTGGGACATGTCCCTGCCCATGGCAGGGGAGATGGTACTAGATAATCTTTGAGGTCCCTTCCAGTCCCTTAACATTCTGTGATTCTATAATAAAGACTTTAAATCTATTATGAACTAATGTAGTTTTTTCTAAAATATAAATGTATGGAAGCACAAGCTTGTAAGTAATCATGCAACTTGCTGACAACTTTTGTATGCTCAAATAGCTATGAAATACAAGGAAAAAGCTGCTGTTCATCTTTATAGAATATTATATGAGTATAAAAGCAAGATATGGATTTGAAAGCGCTAAGAGGAATTTTACTGCAAATTGGTGTAGGTACACTGAAGTGTGGCATTTTTCTTGTTTTAGTTACATTATTCTCAGAGCTTTTTAGTCAATCCTGGGAGAAGTAGTAAAACTTCAGAGACTGTGTTCATACAGTGGGGCCTAATTTTATTCATGTGTACCCTGAGGAGAGTGTAAAAACTCAGACCCTTATTCCTCTTGCAATTCTGCTTCTTGGAGATTTTTAGTCTTAAGTGCAATACTGAACTCTCTGTTGCCAAGCCGAAGGTCACCTCTGTTGAAAAAAAAAAAAAGTGTATGATCCTGACATTCCAGCAGGATGAGAAGGGAGATGAAAAAACTTGCCAAGAAAAGCCAGCTTGTAGTGGAAAGTACCTCCCTGGTGAGGAGGAACAGAAAAGGGAAACAAACCTCAGATTTTCTGATCTTTACCATGTACAGTTAAACAACATTTTGCAAAATTCAGTGAAGAAGACAAGAATGCAAATTATCCTGTGCTATTCAGAGGGACAACCTAGTGGGATTTTCAGATCAGGAAGCATAAAAGTATTTCTTCTTTCTTTTTAATTTCAGATCTAGAATAAATAAAACCTACAGCTCCCCAGTGCAAACACACAATACCATTTACAAGGCATAGACCACGTTTTGTTCTATTAGAGCTCTTAGCACATTGGCTCTCAGTTTGTGATACTACAAATACCTCCTCATCCTAAAAGTCCACCCAAATCCTGAAGCACTGAGATGAAACTGAAAGCAGCTGCACTGCATAATGCCAGAGAGTTGCCTAACCTCGTGTCTGGTATCAAAGAGTGTTCAGTGGTCTATGCCACGAGGCTATGAGGATTGCAGGACTGCCAGTCAGCCTGGAACACTTCCCTGGTTACAAACTCTCTTGACTTCCAGTGATCAGCCTTCAGTGAGTTTCTGATCCAGGTATCTTTGCTGTATGTCCCGTTTTGTAATGTAAGAATGCCACGTGTAAAAAAATGTTGCTAATTTTTTTACTTTGGACTGGCTACCTCCAGATTACTTTTTCTATCAAAAGGCACACCTTTTCCACATCACTTCTGAATTTACAGATCCCTGTTACATCCTCACCGAGCTGCCTCTTTCTCATCCACAAGACTCCCAGACAATTCATCTGCTTCTCAGTTGTGTTGTCATTACACAGTTTTTGGCTGCTTTGATCCTCCTATTTGAGCCTTTTCCTAGCTCTGCTGCCTTTTTGTAATGGAGCAGACCAGAATTTTACACTACATTAAGACCTAAGTGCACCATCAATTTACACAGCATAAAACTGTTTTCTGTTTTATTCTTTATCCCCTACTGAGTCATTCTTAGCACTTGTCTGACCTGCTGCTGAGCAGTGAGCTGAGGTTTCCATAAAATTACCCAGGTAACTCCAAAATCACTTTGCTACACAGCAATAGCTACTTCAGAGGACCAAGGTGCAGGTAAAGTGAGAACTCAGTATTATTTTATATATTGTTTTATATTTATGTTATTTTAGTAAAATATTGAAATACATCTACTTTATCAGACTCTCAGTATCATGAGATTTGTCTGCTGCTTTTAGCACTTTCCATTTTTATTATTTTTGAGAATACAACCTAATTGCAAACATTCTGTTACTGTTTAGACCTCTTTGACTGATCTGTTATGTATCTGATTTTCTCCTTTATTATTATCCTATTTTGCAAATAGCCATGTGGATGGCCCAGTGTCCCATTAAGGGACTCCTACTCTTCAACCAGTGCATCACTGTTTTTCAAAGAAGCTTTAATGAGAGACCTCACCTAAACACTCGTACTTGTCTACTCAGGGAAGTGTCCAGCAACTCTATTGACCATGAGGCATGAACATTCTTAATATGTAAATATTCATACTACTCAGTGCTTTTACACTCTGATCACCTAATGACCTGTAAGCTTCTCTTGTTTAGAAAAAAACATAAGCATGTACAGGTATTGCATATTTTTCCACGTTTTTCATATTTGTTCATTTCTATTTTCTTAACTTTGACACAAAATACTAAGGTGAGATTTTTCCTCTTGTGATTTCTCTAACTCATTTGCCAATGAAAAAATAATTTATATTCTCCAGTGAAACAGTGATCCAATGCTCACACTAAAAATCGAAATTTTTATTTGGATTTGTTTTCTGTTAGGTGTGGTTACCACCAGGTATGGTTACCACCTGGTATGGTTACCACCAGAGTGAGAGATTTTGCTATATATGGTCATAATTCTCAATGGACTAACTTCATAGCCATAAAGACACTCAGTCTAAGGAAGTCTGCATTAGTGGTTGCTTATTTAATTTCAAATCATAGCATGGCACTAGTTTCCCACAGAAGAAACAACTCGTTATCTCCGTTGTCTCAACAGCCTCGCTTAAAAGCAGATATTCTAGTCTTCAAGTGGTTTTTTTCAGACTGCAATTTCTACAGAAATATATACAGTGGGTTCAGTTCACAGTTTTAATGGAACCTTAGTTAAACTGCTCCTTGATGTTTATTTTCCCCAACTTCTACCCTATTCTTTTACCAAAGTCTATTTATCATCCATAATCACGTTTCCCTTCTTACACATCTACTTTTCCCCTGTTCATAGACTTTAAATGCCTATTTCTTTCATTAAAAAAAAATGCTGTGACAGAATCCTGGTTTCATTCTTTGCACATACTTCTATTACTAATGGGCCTGTCTGTTTTTATTCCCTTGACAGTATTTGCATGGTCATGCACTGTAACACTGTTTCTCTCCCTCTCTTCTCCTCCTCTGGAAAGCTACTACATGAAGGGTCTGGAAAGCTACTACATGAAGGGTCTGGAAAGCTACTACATGAAGGGTCTGGAAAGCTACTACATGAAGGCCACGCTCTTCCAGCCTGAAGTAAAATCTTTAATCCAAAGGGAAAGTGTACTTTTTTTAATAGCAGAAAGAAGGAGGAATTAGAAAATAGAAGTAAAAACCCTGTTTCTGTTCAGTGCTGCTGCATGAAATAGCCACAGAAAAACAATAAAAGGAAATTTGTTAGTGAAACCATTTCAGAAACCAACTTTTTTTCTGACAAATGTACAGAAAACATTAATTTGAGGAGTTGAGGTTGTTTTATTTTACACCTAATACAATTCAAATTTAAAGGATTACTTGCACAAAAAAATAAACACATTTGGTATAAAAATTTATTGTCACTTTAACACCTTTTTTTCCTCTTATGGCCCCCACCTTCTCTGGAGCAGAAACATATAAAGACTAATGGCACAAGTTTGTTTTATTCTACAGCATTTTTTTTGTTTTTACATACTTGAGTACCCTAAAGGACAACAGCCCGCTGTATACAAGAACCATTTTCTTCAGCCTGCTGAATTAAGTTTCATAAAGAACCAAAGCTATAAAGGCATTTTAAAAACATTGTCTCTTTTTTTCTTTTCAGAAGCACTGACTTTTTGCACCATTTATATACATAGTGTTACGTAACAGCTCTTGAGTACAGTACATGCAGCAGAATATATCTCTTGTATATAAAACATACATTTAAAACCTTGACTTATCGGAATTCTTTGAAGATTAAATAATTGTAGAATGCCCAGTGCTTAGAGAAAATGGTTTGATAGTACAAATCTCTGCATATGTTGGCCACTGGAATAATCCAAGGCTCACTGGAATATTATCTGTAGCACATCAAGGTGCGTAAATAATTTACTTAGAATGTTAAAACACAACTAGCAAAACCAATATTCATGATCTTACGACTGGGGGCTGGAACTAGATGATCTTTATGGTCCTTTCCATTAAGTCCCAACCATTCTATGACTGCCATGTTAACTCTTCAGTGGTTGCAAGGAGGTGTTATGAGAGTTCCCCCTCTGCTCCTAAGACCTCTATAAAACCTTTAGTACACAATTTGTTTTCCAGATGAAGAAACTTATTTATGTCTACTGCCTCTTCTCTTCATTGCAGCTGTACACTGTGGACAGTACCATTTCCCTTTTGGTGCTTCTGTCAGTCCAACACATCCATAGTGGAACCACTCAATAGGACACTATAAAAAGAGAGTTAAAGAGATGGTTTGGGATTTGTTTGTTTTGTTTTTTTTTCACAGTGCCTATCACAAATACAATTCTATGAAAATGAAACACGAGTAAAAAGCATAGATTCTGCTTTTCATACAAATCACAGGAAAAAATGACAAGAGATGAAGATCTCAGTCTCTAACATACACTCAATAAACTAAGGAGAGTGATAAGAATTCTAGGACTCATATGAACTCACATAACAGAGCAAAATAACTATGTTTTGCTTTGAAAGACTTAGTTTGACAATACTAAGTGACACAAAAGTAATCTTATCACGCATTTCTGTTTAAATGTAGTGTCTCAGTAAATACATGATGACATTCAACTGCTCTTTTAAAACTTTTTTTATTTGAAGAGGACAACTGTTATTAGCTAAACACAGCTAAGCATTCAGAGAAATAAATGGCATTTTGAACTAGGGCTTTTCTGAACCTAGTAAAGGCTGAAGGTTTCTAAAAGAACCTGAACTGTGAGGAGAAATGAGAAGTTTCCTGAAGGGTGGTTCAAAACATATGCACTTTACTCTAAAAAAATCTATTCAAAAACCAAGTCTAAAAAAAAGTAACTTTGCAAACAACAGTTACATGCACAAGCCTCTTATGAACCCTTTGAACTTTGTTACTTACATCTTGGTTATCACAGCCTACCATTTCACCATAGGACACCTAGTGAGAAAAAAAAATTCCATCCTTAGTAATTGTTAACATTTTCAAAGGGCTAACATTCAAGTTTTTTCCTTTAAGGAGTCTGACCATTAACAGCTGCAACAACATTTTGATTTTTCTTCTCACAGGTACCACAGATATCACAGAATATTCTGGAAGGATATTGGAAGGGACCCACGAGAGTCATCTCTCTTAAGCATCCTCTTCACTCTTAAGTGAAGAGGCTGTGTGGAGCTTCTGTTACACAATCCAAACACCACCTCGTTCCTAGTGAATTGATTTTCAAAGATCGTTTGTGCAAAAGAAGATGCATCTGCATATTTCAGGTTGGATAAAAAAGGTCAGCACTCAAAGCCTGAATGAAGTACATTTTGATGAAAACAACAGTGCTCAGTATGTTATCAGCCTAGTTCTCAAGATTATATTGATGTCTGCCATTTCCCTTGCATACATGACAATTTCAAGCACTTTATTTGAAACAATCAAATATTTTAAAGAGAATTACAGAAATCTATAAACTCTAAAAAAAGTCAACTCTCTTAAAAGTGTTTGAAATAAGAACAGGCATTTTAAGTAAGTTTCTTATGTTGTCATTCATTCTCCGGATAGCTTATCTAAAATTAGGTTTTTGTTTGGTTGTTTGGGCATTTTTAAGTTTATGGGATATTTTGGGTTTTGGTGGGGGTTTTTTTTGTTTGGTTTGTTTGGTGGTTTTTGCTTTCTACGGGGAAGTTGGAGAAAACAGACAAATTCCTTACTAACTTAACATTTTAACTACATTCACTGTGAACCCTTTCCATTTTTAATTTAATTATTTCTGAAGTCTCCACTAACAGATTTTAAACACTCCAGGTATGTCACATCACTAGAAAACTGACCACTTTTAGCTTGAGTTGATAATATTTGTAGCACCAGTAAGTAAATAAAAACAGATCAGGATTTCAAGGGTAAAACCAAAATGGTTTAAAATTAGCAACCAGAGAAGGAAGTTCAATTACATCAAACCAGCAGTTCTAGCTGTATTTCAGGCTGGAGGCTACCCTTACCTGATTACAAATGCAGTAACGTGGCTCATTTGGATCATAGGTCCAGTCAACCTGGCTATTAGAATCAGACTCTGGTATTACTGCTGTTTGCTGAGAAAGTTCTTGTGCTAGTGCAGATGAAGAAGAACATGATGATAGAGAGGAAGAAGAAGAAGATGACGAGGACTGCTGACTTGAGGATTTGTTGTTGTTTCTGAGAAAAGGAAAAACAAAAAGGAAAACTAAATTTTCTTATCTTTTTTTCTTTCTTTCTGGCAATTATGTGTCAACATAACATTATTTTAGGATTTAAAATGGCATACATGATTTAAATTTATTTCCTGCCAAGTGAAAGAATCACTAAACAAGTACTTTGTTAACTCTGAAATACTGCAGTATGTAAATCCCAAAGCATCATTTGCTAACAGATTTCATTCAACTACTGCAAGCACTGGAATGGACCCACTGAATGCTCTTGGGAAAAGGAAACAAGTTGTACCAGCTTACAAGTGCAAAATACAGTGTTCTAATCAATGGAATTTAACAGCTCTAAACTGTCAAATGGCTTTAATGAATGCTTTTCTTCACAAAATTTTCCATTAACAGCCTTGGTGTCAAGTCCCCATAAAAATTATAGCATAAATGAAACAGGAATTTACATATAAATAATGTCATATGTCATGTACAACAGGTAACTGTTTTGAAGATGACTGATTCTCTGTTAACCTCCACTCAAGCATCACCAATCACTCCATAGGAACGGTGCCAGAATAAAAATTTTATGCTTTTGCTTATAGATGAGATCTGACACTAAATCTATGCATAGATTAAAAATCCTTCTAAAATAGTATTATTAATGGAGCTGTGAACACACATAAATTTGTATGAAGAAAAAAACTCGTGTCAGTTTAAAAGGATGGGCATTTTGAGACAAATTATTTCAAGTACAAGTTGTGACACTGTTGGTTAAAATGTTTTAAAACTTCATTTTAATCAGAAATAAAATTCAGTCCCCTTCCTGTCCTAGATGACCAGCCATCAGAAAGTGTTGCATTTATTTGTGATCTGGCATGAAGCAAATCTGCAGATTATTTCAAAACCATCTACAAACCGTTGCATGGTAATTCCCAACATTTGCTGTTATGTCAAATCTCTCCACAACACAAAAAAAATGAGGGAAGAACCTTGACTGTATCACAGATGAAAAAGCAAATCAACACATTTATTTACAAACTTGGAGTGTGTTTGCTTAAATAAAAAGAAGTGAGAGGACTGAAGAACACAGTCCTGAAAAAAAAATGTCCAGCAGGCAATAACTGTCTTCTACTGATTCTCCCTCACAGATATTAAATATAAAGTATTTCTATTATGGCCCATGACTTTTAAGAGAAAGCTTAGCTGCCTTAAAAGCTATAATTGCAGTCAACAAGTAAGAAAACCTACTTGCTTTTTCTGCCACTTCGTGAATCTGTGGTTGATGAACTTAATGTCTGTGTTAACGTAGATGCCAGAGCTGATGACGAATATCCAGCTGAATCTCTGGACAATGAAAATTCTCTTCCAAGCTGAAAATCATTGTTTTTAAATGCTTCATAGCTGGCTTTTAGACTGGATGTTCGTCTTCCCTCCTTCATCTAAAAGGAATACTGGTATTGTATCAGATTACACAGTAAAGCTCTTAAATGAGACAACTGCTAACTGTTAATTATTTGCACAGGTTCATTAGCTACCTTGTTAACAAAGTGATGTAGAGTAAGCAGTAAAATGTGTAAGAACATCCCCCAGGAAAAGCCAGAAAACAAGCTGTCCCTTTAGGCAATTTATATAGGATGAAACTGTGGCATATAAACAAAAGCTGAAAGTGATCATGGGAATTCAGATTTAAAAAAAAATAAAGTCACTAGCCTTTCTTCTTAATCAATAGCAGATGGCAGAGTGACAAGAACATTTTGACATTACCTGTGCCGTGGCTTGCACTGCTTGAGCTGCTGCCATGGTAATTGCACCGGCCCCGGATCCTGAAGATAATGAGCCCAGGTTATATGATGCCAATGGTTGAGAAGAGTTTGTATTGTATGCATTGTTTGAAGAGGATGATGAATTACTGTTTCGACACCCTTGATGAATAGAACACATTTATGAAATTCAAAATGAAACTAAATTCCTTTGCATTTTAAGAAGAGTTATATATGACAACCAGTGAAAGAGTAGGAACTCTGTTAACGTATCAGAGCAGTCTAATAATTTCGAAAAAAGGTTTTAAAAGTAATTTGACATAGAAAGTATTTGTATAAGGGAAAAAAAAAAGAAGTTTGTTCCCTCTCTATGCTCATGTGCAAGGAGTCCTTTTAGAAAGACAGCTCTCACTATCCTACTCAGCTATCAAAGAAAAGATGCAGCTGCTGTATCTGTCAATATTGAAACAATGCTGACTAACCATCAAGAAAGTAAGAATTTAACTGTACACCTCTACTGTTTCTGAAGTAAAACTTTACCGATCTTAATTCTAAAAACTACAAATCACAGTTTTAATGCAACACAGATTTCCATGGTCATCTACAGAATGATAGCTGCTCATAGTTACATTTTGTTTGCAACTTCATGTGAAGATCCTTCAAAAGAAAAGTGAAATAGGTACGAGGGAGACTAAAAACTGATGAACACTGCTAAATTCCAAAACATACAGTAGTTACTTTACGTACTATAACCTCTCATAATCTTTTATTTTCAGAAAAGAAACTAAGAAACGCCTAAATTTTGAAAATGGGCAGAAAGTTGTGGGGGTTTTTTTATTCACCAAACAGGCTTCTTGCCTCTTTTGACATAGACAATACATGAAAGAATTTTATTTTATTGTAGCCAAATGCCACCTCAGACCAACACTTTAAAAAAAAGAGATGTGAAAATTCTTTTCCCTTACTTTGGAAATTGTTCCATGCATTTCTTTTTCCCAAAGCAGTAATGCATTGATCTCTTATATTCCTACTACTGGCTGAATGAAATCGTACTGTTATCTTCTTTGAAGCAGTGTAAATAAAAAGGAACAGCCAACATACAGCTGTTAAATGACAACAAAACTGACCTGCTTCATGGACAACACAGATGAGTAACAATGCCTACAGTATCTCATGTTTCAAGTGATTGAAAATCCCAGAGGAAAGGGTATGGACCTCTGATTGAAAACTGGTTGAATGGCAGATCCCAGAGGATCATTATCGATGGCACAGGGTCTAGTTGGAGGCCTATCATTAGTGGTATTCCCCAAGGTTCAATACTGGGCCCAGTACTGTATAACTTATTTATCCATGACTTGGATGAGGAGGCAGATTCCTCTTTAGCAAGTTCGCTGATGACACAAAGCCAGGCAGAGTGGCCAATATCCTAGAGTTCTGTGCAGCCCTTTGAAAGGACTTTGACAAGTTGGAGAGAGAAGCAGAGAAGAACCTTCTGAAATTCAACAGAGGGAAGTGCAGGGTCCTGCACCTGGGGAATAATCCCCTGCACCAGTACAGGTTGGGGTCAACTTGCTGGAAAGCAGCTCCGTGGAGAAGGACCTGGGGGTCCTGGTGGACAACAGGCTGTCCATGAGCCAGCAGTGTGCCCCTGTGGCCAAGAACCTGGAAGGTTCTTAGGAAGACCATTGCTAGCAGGTCAAGGGAAGTGGTCCTGCCCCTCTGCTCAGCCTTGGTGAGGCCATATTGGGAGTGCTGTGCCCAGTTCTGGTCTCCTCAATACAAGAGACAAGGAGCTCCTGGAGCAGGTCCAGCAGAGGGCTATGAAGATGATTAAGGGACTGGAGAATCTCTCTTATGAGGAAAGGCTGAGAGAATTGGGCCTGTTCAGTCTCCAGAAGAGACAACTGAGAGGGGACCTCAGCAAGGTATATAAGTATCTGAAGGAAGAGTGTCAAGAAGATGGAGCTAGGTTCTTCTGGGTGGTGCCAAGCAATACGACAAGAGGCAACAGGCAGAAACTGATGCCCAGGAAGTTCCACTGGAGTATAAGGATGCACTTGTTTACTGTGTGGGTGACCAAGCACTGGAACAGATTGCCCAGAGAGGTTGTAGAGTTTCCTCACTGGAGATATTTCTGAACTGTCTGGACACAATCCTGTGCAATGTGATCTGGGATAACACTGTTTGGAGCAGGTAGGTTAAACCAGATGACCCACTAGGGTCCCTTCCAACCGTACCCATTCTGTGATTTCAAAAGACTAACTCAAAAGTTTCTCTTCTTTTAATTTAAAACTAATGAAAGGAAAGACAATTAGGATTACCTGGTGTATTTTCTTTAGAAGCATCTGAAGTCAGGGTAGATAGAAGAGCTTCAGATTTAAACTTCTTTTCAGGAACATGATCTGTTGTACTGTGGTGAGAAGATGGATTGTGTTTCCTTTCTAAATGAAACAAATGGAGGGAACTTAAATGTAAAACCTATTCAGCTTGAAAGTCAAACTAAAAAAACAGCACTTTCAACTAATTTCCACTAGCAAAAACTTACTATTTCATTTTTGCACTTCTTCTTAACAAACATTATTATCATTTATTATGCCTTATTTTCCCCTGAAATGTCTGGAAGGAAAAGAATTCAGAATATTTTTTTTCCTAACACTACTCAAAAAAAAAAAAAAAAGGAAACATAAAAAGTGGCCACTTTTTTAAAGTCTTAAATACTTACTCTCTACTGGAGTATGAGAATGGGCGTGATGGTTATTCACAGGCTGTGATGGTGTATCCAGCTCCAGAGACCCTAAGAAGGGGTGAAAAGGTTAGGAAAATTTCAGAGTTGTCCTTGCCATGCTTTTGACTTTTAGATATTAAGTGAATCTTTATAATATTAATCAAATCACTATGCAGTTACATTTATTTTAATCATAAGAATTTTTGCTAGAGTAGAAACCCTTCCTACAGTACAACCAGGAGCCAGTGAGATTAGTTTTAAAAATTGGTGAATGCTAGTGTTTAACTATTGAAATCAAGAAGTTAAAATCAAGGTCAGTAAGGAGAACAAACAACATTGCTCTCAACATGCCACTTATGCAAATGAGTTGCACACAAGCTGGTGATGATTGGAGGATGGCTGCACCAAAACTACTGACAATCTCCACCAATATGAATTGAAAAATGTAACAGGTCAACTATGTAAACAAGACATTTTGTCCCACTGAGTCCATCTTGTCAAAATGGAAGCAATAGCAATGTATTTCCAGATGATTTAACATTCAACAGGAAGGGCTTCACTACCATTATCCAAATTTTCCTAATGCTTAAAATAAAAAGAGCAATTAATACAAAGAAAAAACCCACCTATGAAGTCGGTGAGGCACAAATGCAAGTATACATCTAGGAATAATATTTCTTATAGGATGAGGCTAAATAATTGCAGCATGGGAAAGACTGTTGACTATAAATTTCCATTAGCACAATATACAACACTTTTTGCATCAATCTCTGGCAAAAAAAAATCTGAAGTAGCTGCAATATCTACTAACTCATGTTTACATAGGAGACTGTTCAAGAAAGTAAGTGACATTAATTTTTCAAAATCTGTAGCTTCAACATTTCTTTACTTTTTTCAGTGCTTTCAAAAAGCACTGAAATACATGAGTATATGAGTAATACATAACTGTATTACAAAAGCTTAAATAAAATTATTCTGGAAGAAGTTCAAAGCATAACGAGCTATTTTGGCTGAGCAAACTTCAATCACATCATCAACTCGCCCAAAGGCTGCCCTCTGGCGGAACCTCAGCTATATGCATTTATTCTGAAAGTGAAAAAATTTACAGGCTTCTACTTTTAGCTTTATTTAAACAAACAAAGAAAACCCAAATCCAAACAAACCTTAAAGATGCCACATGCAGTTTGGTGCTTTTCTATTCTGAGTTCTTGAAATGCTACCTAGCAACCTCTCCAAACACATAGCTCAACAGAAGATAAACAGCTGGGATTTCAAGTAAAATAAACTAATCATTTTATGTAGTTGCTAGTTCATTAAAAGCATTCAATTTACAGTTTTTTCTTTGTGCCTGTTATTTGTAATAGCAATTACAAATAAAATATCCCAAAACTCCCAACTCATATACCAAAGCCACAAAAAGTTCCAAGAAAGAATATTTATTCCCAATATCCTCAAGTGATTTAAGTTACTTTTCACTGCGTTTGGCTATGAGGACAACCACTGCCTCCATAATCACAGTAATTAAATGAACTCAGAAATATATCATAATCACATCCAAACTTGATGTTTAAATGCTGATGCATACAGAAAGGCCAGACTCTTCTACACCAAGTTGGTCAAAAAAGCTGTCACATTACATTTTTGTTCACATTCTTAACACCAGCATTGCTATATTTGCTCAACATGCAGGTTTCTTACCTAAAATGCTCTTCCCTCACTACACCATTACAAAACAACCCATTCTCACCCCTTTAAAAAAATAAGTATCTAACTGTATTTGATATTCCACACCTAGAACTAAAATAAACTAAAGACCCTCCTCAGTGTGGTGGCAATCAATTCAAGGAAGAAATAGTACACTTGCAATTGGGTAGGTGACAGGCTTATACTGAAGTACTTTTCTGAATACCTCCAGTCATTAAAAACAGGTTTAAAGAATTCTGCATCTGTCAGATACAGTCACCAATTCACAAGTGCAACAGTTGTGTGAAAAAGTTATTTTAATTACTCAGTTGTATTTTGACTTCACTGGTAAAAATTGATGTTGAAACTAAAATTTGAGGATCACTGATGAAAAGTGGGTTAAAACAGTTTTAAAACAAGTGGGAATACTGCCTGCCCCTAACAAGTGTATGATATTTTAATTTTGCAAATTGACAGAAAGTGTGTCAAGTTCTTAAAGAAAATCATGCATACTTACGTCTCTCTAATATTTCTGTGATTCCAGCATTATCTGCTTCAAGTTCCATTTTAAATTTAGCGAGTTCCTGGTCCAATTTTCTCAAATGACGGTCCACCTGTTTTTCAGACGAACCAACAACAAAAAGCCTCCAGTTCTGGAACATGAACATCTACATCCTTAATTTCAGACTTGCTAAGTATTTCCCTTCCAGCAATTTTATGCCACGCAGCACTAAGCACGTACAGTAACACACAGAAGCATATCTTCTTGGTCACCTCCATGTCCCTCACTCAGCAGAGACAGTGGTGGTAACACCAAAATAGCGTAGGCAGTGATCCAACACACTGTCATAAGTGTCTCTTTCGAGAAAAAAGATGAAGAGGACTTGGAGGTGCTGTGGATATGTCAATATGAAGGAGAAGAGAAAGAACAGTTCATGACATGGGCTTTAGAAGAGGTTGGGCTGCTTTGGGGAAATTGAGTCTTAAGTAAAAGTGTAGAGATTCCTACGCATTTGAGTAAATCATGACGTGCTCTTGGGTACTAAAAATTAACAAAAAACCCCCTGAACTCACTATCGTGAAAAGAAACACTATGTTGCAAATCCTTTCTACGTCTGCAGCCATCCAGCAAAATATATCTGTCTCTATTAAAAACTGAACAGGTTTTTCCAGTTACCAGCTAACCAAAAGAGAGGATATAAGAGCTGACTTCTGGAACAAACTTTTGGTGCTGCTGTGAAACTAAAGCAGTTGTTTTATGTCTACTACATTTGAATGCAGTGTGACTTGTAGGGTCTAAGAAAATGCAAAGTAAATATACTTAAACTTCAAAACCCACATGCCACTATTCTCTGGGCCCAGCCATCCAGCCAGTTTTTTACCCAGCCAATAGTGCACCTGTCCAAGCCAGGAACAGTCAGTTTCCCCAGAAGAATGTTGTAGGAAACAGCGTTAAAGGGTTTATTAAAGTCCAGGCAGACAGCTTTCTCTGATCTGCCAATCAGGTCACTTTGTCAAATGAGGAGATCAGGTCATTCAAGCAGGACCTGCCTTTCCTAAACCCATACTGTCTGGACCAGATCCCCCTGGCTGTCCAGCTCGTGCTGTGGGATGGCTCTCAAGATGATCTGCTGTTGCAGTCCAACAGAAAAGGAAGTGCTAAGATTAAACAGGAAACCTTGGGCCACAGGGGCTGGAAAAAAACATCATCTAAAAGACCAGACAAGATCCACTGACATTCACTTCCTGTGGATTGTCCTGATCTCTCCCAGCAGGAAGTAGAGAGATTTTGCATGATGCTATCAGATATCTCATTGTTTTCTCCCTCCCTGTGTAAATCCTTATTTCAGGAAAAGCTAACCACCCTTCCCCAGTATAATCTTGCTTACTGGAAATATCAAATCCTTTTTCCCCCAAATGTAAATACTGGATCCGAAAAATGTAAATCCATTTTTCCCCTTCTGTCACCCCTGTTACTGGAAATGCTAATAGATTGTGGAAACCCCTCTCTGGAATAACCCTACCTCCTCATTAGCATGTTAAGCCCCCAAGACCCTTAAACAGCGTTTGCATGTTCAATAAATCATTCCAGTTTTTGCCCCCATAGTTGGGATCATGATAGCTTTATTAGACCCTTACAATCTGCTCCATGACCTTCCCCAGCACTGAAGTCAGGTTGACAGGCCTGTACTTTTCCGGATCCTTTTTCTGACCCTTCTTGTAGATGTGCATTACATTTGCTAATTTCCAATCATGTGGAACTTCTGCTAAATGAATGGAAGTGGCTCAGTGAGCTCTTCCACCAGCTCCTTCAGTGTCCTTGGGTGGATCCCATCAGGGCTATAGACTTTTGTGTGTCTAAGTGGCATAGCAGGTCACTGACCATTTCCCTTGGATTATGGGGACTTCATTCTGCTCCCCAGGTCAGGGGGCTGGTTACCCTGAGAACAACTGGTCTTGTTACTAAAGACTGAGGCAAAGAAGGCATTAAGTACCTTGCATCCAGTAAAGGGTGGAGATTTTCCTCAGCCCTCCTTTTGTTGCTGATATATTTATAAAATATTTTTTATTGTCTTTTGTAGCAGTAACCAGTTTTAAGTTCTACTTGGGCTTTGGCCCTTCTAATTTTCTCCCTGCATATACTCACAATATCCTCGTAGCCCTCCCAAGCTGCCTGCCCCTTCTTCCAAAGATGATACACTCTCTTCTTTCCCCCCGAGTTAAAGCTATTGCTCTCTATTTAGCCCAGCAAGCATTCTTTCCCACTGGCTTCGTTTTTTGGCACATGGGGACAGCCTGCTCCTGTATATTTAAGATTTCCTTACTGAACAATGTCCAGACTTCCTGGACTCCTTTGCCCTAAAGACTGCATCCTGAAGGACTCTTTCAACCAGTTTCCTAAACAGGCCATAGCTATGCATTAAAACCTTACAATTTCTAATCTTATTTGTTTTGTATTTAAGTGACGCTTACTACCAAAATAACAAAATTCTTAAAAGTCAATAAAATATTAAATGTTTCTTTCACCAGCAAAGTATCTGTATGTAGATGACACAGAAGTACAGGTAGCACAGCTGTAATGCTTATCAAAATTCTTAGAACTCCTTAGGGCATAAATTTAGGTAATTCACCACAAGTCTTGTGTCCACTTACCAGATCATATATTTGATTAGCCAGTTGCACTTTTTCATCTGCATCTTCCAAAGCCTTATAATAATCCTGTTAAAGAGAATTTTTTTTTAAATTATGAACATAAATAAATTAATTTCCACTATTAATTTTAAGCTATTGTTATCCAACACAAAATATAAGCTAAAAGGAGAAATTCCAGTCATTTTTGAGAAAGCTTGTGAAACTTTACTGTAAACAACAATCAGCTAAATTTTAAATGAGAGATATATATACCAATTTATTGTATGGGCCTTAGAACAAGCAAACTACAAGATGGAGACATCTCCTCCTACAGTGATATTTACATTTCTGCAAGAAATGTTACAAGAAAAGAAACAATCCTGGATTTATTTTATATTACACAGCATAAAGTTATGGACTCAAAATGAGATTATGTCTTTTTCTTCCTACAGGTCTTTAGGACCACGGCAGATCCAACTGCTCTTCAAAAAGATGCTGAACAGTACTGTGCAGGGAGGCCTTTCCAACACTGCAGTTAAATAGAAACAATGTTGTATATATCTTAAATTATTTTAAAATAAATTTCTATAACTCATAGGGTAACTTGAATGAAGCAATCCAATTTAGAAATCTGCTCTAACCAATGAAAATTCACTGACAAAACTTTTTTTAAAAAAATATGTTTTCACATGTTTTTATGTTAGATTTAAACAGATTTTACTGCCTTTTAATTCTCAATTTCCAGTGAATAGTATCTTGCTTAGACGAAAACTACTTGAAATTTTGGTTCAACTAAAGTCAAAACAAGTTTTCATTTACTCTAGGGAAGTTGGAGCTTTGACTTTTTCTTTTTTAAAATACAGAAATCTATTTGCATTAATTAAAGAAGTAAACAACTAAATAAGAGGTTGAAGTAGCCAGTGTAAGAAACTACAGAGGATTTTCTCCCAACCAAATGATGGACTACACTTCCAAAAATACCACCACCAATGCCCAAGTACTGAAAGATAGAACACATCTATCTTCTTACTCCTCCCTCCCTCAAGCTACATATACCATATATGTAACATATAAAAGGACAGAGGCAGAATTACAGGAAATGCTAAATCTAGCTTTAAAATTATCCTCTAAAAGAAAGTCAATTAACTTACACAACTTCATGTCACACAAGGAGAAACAAAAAATCTGAGCTGAAAATTTAGTACCTGGTTTCCTCACCACTTCAGGATCATATTTTTTAAATTGCTAGCAAATACTGGGTAAAACTTGAGAGAAATGCTTGATCAAAGAAACCTTTCAGTCACTTTTCTCCTCCGAGGTAGTTCTATCCATCTCTATGAAAGCCCAAGGGAAGGCATAGTTCTGAACACTTAAGTCTCCATCTATCATAAGCTATTTTTTCCTAAGGTTATCTTAATTTGCAAAAGAAAAATGTTATCCACTCCTGTGATATTCTTACTTTTTTGATTGATGTCATTTGTTCTTCTCTCCATTCAGGTTTGTTTTTCTTTGCGTTCATAAAAAATTCATTTACCCTCTGCTCAAGCTGATCCATTGCATCTGTAGCATAGGAAAAGATTAAGACAAATATTATCTTCTCATGTACATAAACATTAGGAAATAATGGGAGATTTTTTTTCTCAAACAAAGTTGACAGGACTGAGGTGCAAACTATTAGAGAGGAAAAAAAAGAAAAAACCAAAACAACCAAGCGACAGTGGACAGCGGAGGGAATTATTTACCTTCATTTCCAAGAAGCAGAATTGCATTCTGGTAGGATTCTCATCAAGGTTCTTGTGCTCTCCAGCATGGGACAGGCAGGACTCCAAGTTCTAAAGGTTTTTTGTCCCTAAGAGCAGTGGTAGTGACTTAAAGCACGACCCAAACTCCTCACCCAGGGCTCTAGATTGCTGACTTTGGAACATTCTAGCCAGTTACAAACTGAGCAGGAAACAAAATATTCTCCTAAGAGAAACAGTCAAATACAAAACCAAATAATTGAAAAAAATTAGTGCCTCAAAAAGGTAGAGCAACTGAAGAGTAAAGTCACTGCCTTTAAATCAAGGGCCTCTCCATTGTATGCTAGGAAGGGTAAGGGCAAAGCACAAGTTATTCCCCCATCCCCACAGGGGTAAATCCCTGATGAAATACTATTTGGACAGGATTCTCACTTACATGAAGTTTAGAAATATCGTAAGGGGAAAAAATAAAACCACCAATTTTCTAACATTAACTATCTCTAGAAAGGAAAATGTTAACTACAAGGGGGTTTTTTTGTTGTTTATCAAGATAGTAACAGGGATTCCCTTCCCTTTCCCTTCACGCTCTCCCACTGAGTTTACTGCTTCGACAGTTGTGCACACAACAGCTTGCATATTTCCAGAAACGTACAGCTGCCTCAGTCAAACCTGCTTTGACAGCCTTGCTAGTGTCAGGGTCGATGACAATACTGATTTTTTTTCACAGCACTCTCAGCAACGCTGCCCAGACAGCAGTTTCAAATTAAATGTGACAACCCACAAACTACCTAGACTTCAGGTTCTGGATGTAAAACAGCTAAAAAACTTTCCAGAAACCACCATCAAAACTGAATTACATAATGGGCATCATCTCTTGCCGAAAAAAAAATGGAAGTGAACTATCTAGTTCAAGAAGCTCATGAATGACAGTATGACTAACTCTTAAAACCCAACAGAGGCCAAAGGTCTTTTCACCCTATGAAAATTCACAGCTAAAACTATTTATGTAAATAACCAAAAATCATTCATACTAAATGATCAAATACATTCATCAATTTTCCCTATGCTGGGAACATCCAGCACAAACCCCAACAGGAACCTACCAACTCTCACCATTAATCCCAAGCCATAACAGTTGTGACACAGGCTCACATCAACTTTGTTTAGACACAGACAAACAAAGCATTCACAGTTTTGGTGTAACTCAGGCTAAAGATGGGAGAATTTGTACAATGAGCATTTTCCACTTGCACCATGTTATCCAGGGAGAAAGTTAAGAAGTCTGAAAAGCAATCAAGAAGCACACACTTTATGTGGAGGCTTCTAAAATGACTTTTGACCAAATGACAACAACTCGATCCATAAAGCCAACGAACTAAATGTTCTACCTTCTATCCCAGAGCCCATACACCTTAGGTGATAATTATTCTAAGAGCTCCATAGACAAGAAATGACAAAAAAAAAAATCTTTCTTCTTCACTTTTTATTGAGGACACGTTATCAGCCTGTGTGAAACTGCATAAGGGAAAACTTCCACAGAAATTTGGTTTCTCCTAAAAGGGCAGAAACGGCAAAGGGAAGTGAAGGTGAGATCTACCAAATTGTATGAAAAGTTCTCTCTGGTACACACACTCAAGTTCATCCACCTTTTCTTCCTCCCAACCTTTTTAATCCAACTATGATACTATATTCTGAGATACTAATTTCTTTTATCAGATTTCTCAGGGGAGTTACCAGGAAATCTATTAGAAGAGAGGCTTTTTTCCAGAGTTTTATGTTTTACCATAAAGGCCTGATAAGCCATGACTTGACCTTAAACAGAGAAACATATTTTATGCTTCATGTAGAGCTCAGTTAAAGCTCAAGAGTCAAGTCACAACTCCGATGACCTTTGCTTTTCCCACAGTCTTATCAGAACATACAGAAGGTACATCTGGTTCGTTATTTCTTCCAACAACAGCAGCACCTGCCCCATTAGGAGTCCAAGTGGTCTAAACAGGACAGAACATAAAGTCAACACTGACTCTAAAACAGAGCAGCACAGGCGTCTCTGAATTACAACTCATGTGGATTTCTGGGACAGCATCACTCATTAAACTACTGTTTTCAAGTACTTTCAAGACCCTGAATCTTCACAGCAAGTCACTGTATCACAGCATGAGAATAACCTCCAGGTTTGTATGTAGGGCTCACCAGGCAGTTTGGCAACTGATTTTAGAGATGTTACTCCAGAAATTTTGTAAATGTCTTTGGATGCTCTGTCACTCACTGTGTAAAAATAACAGAAGTACCAAGGTCTGAGAGAATTTTTCTCTGTGCCCAAGGTTGGTCCTAGTATACAGTATTCAGTGTCATTTGCTATTTCCAGCAATACAATATGGAGTGTTATTTGTAATTTCCAGTTAAAGAAGAGGAAATGACACTCCTGCAACCTTGGCAATGCTAGCTGGCTCAATTCTGAAACACACTTAAAAAAAACCCTACTAGCTTCTTTGCCTCTCTATGGAACAAAAGTAAAACTTGTGAACTTATTCCAAACTACCTAAGTCAGTGAGCCGCTCACCCCCTCTCCAGGTGCTCTCTGGTGATAGTGACTTTAGAGGGATTTTCTCCCATAAGGAGCCATGACTGTTCTCACAACTTTAAGCACTGAACCCAAGACAGCACTTGGGTCATAATATACAAAAAAAATTGTACAGCCACTTCTATGTGTGTCAGTAGGGTCTGTTAAACAGACCTGCCGGGTCTACCAAAGTAAATATCCAAGGAAAAGCCTAAGACTGCACTTTGAAATATTATAGGTTAAACTGCAGTTTTCAAGAACTGTTCCCACTTAGTGCTGCATTGTGTATTCCTATACAGTATTCCCTTGTTATTTCAAACTTTGCTCTTTCTCTCATTTCTCTTTACAATAGCCCAACCCTTCTATATGGACGATTCCTCACATCTCTTGTGCAATAACAGCTTCATTAACGAAGACCTTTGGATCACAGTTACAGATAACCATATTAACTGTCTGTTAAATGACCACAACAGCTAATTAGATATTAAAGGACATCTAAGTCCTTTAATGAGATTGCATTAGAAAGGATGAAAGGCCAGTGCATCCTGAAAACAGCATAAAGCAGTGTATTACATCAGGATATAAGCAGAAATATAAAGTGATCTAAAAGAAACCTAAAATATATTTGTAGAAAACCCGAAGTATAAATAATATAGTTTTTATATGTATATATGTACTTATATACACTATATTATATATATTTATACTAAACATGTAATTATATTAAATATATATTCATCTAAAATGTAACTTGTATAAAACCTAAAGTATACTTATAAAGTATACTTGGTTATGTGTCAGCTAGGGCACAAGAGGCAGAACAAAGAGCACTTTCACATGTGCTATTTTAAGGGAGCTGGCTGGAAAGTTTCAGGGACAGCACGCCGCTGCCTGCTGAAGGAGCGGGACACAACTCATGTTCCAAACCACCATCACTGCTCTTAGGGATCAAAAATCTAAAGAGTTTGGGACGTGCCACCGAAAATGCCTTAGCGAGCAGCACAAGCCCAGGGGCTCCGCTCCAGCGAGACCCTCCCTGTGCCGAGGCCCGGCGGCGGGCGTGGGTCGGGGCGGGCCCGGGTCTGTCGCGGCAGCGCCTGGGGCGCGCGCCCCGCCCCTCGCAGCGCCCCGGCGGCTCCGCAGCGCCGCCTCCCGCGGCTCCGCAGCGCCCGCGGGACACAGCAAGAGCGCCCGGCACAGCCGGGACGCCAGCCGTGCGAGAGCGGTCGGAGAGCCGGGGCGAAGGGCGAGCAGGGGGCGACACCGCCCCGGGGCAGCCGGGGGGCGGCGGCGGGGAGCGAGTGGCTCCGCCGGCACGGGCCGGAGCGGCGCCGCTTCACCTCCTTCCTTCCCCGCTCGGCCTTCCCGTTCCTCCCGCCCTGCGGCGGGGGCGCGGCGGTGGGGCCGGAGCCCGCGGGGCGGAGCGGGGCGGGCGCGGAGGGGGCGGGCGGAGGCGGCGGGGGCGGGACTCACGTACTCTGCACCTGCAGGTCCATCTCGCGCATCTCGGTGAACCTGTCGCGCAGATCCATGGGAAGCTGCTCGATCACTGCGGGGACACGGGGGAGCGGGAGAGAGGGGGGGGGAGCCAGTCAGTCACTCGCCGCCGTGGGGGAGGGGGAGCGCCGCCTCCTCGCCGCGGCTCCCCCCGGCTCCCCCGCACCTGCCGTGCCCGGCCGCCCGGCGTCCCCGCCGCGCACACACTCACTCTCCAGATAGTCCTCCAGGTACAGCATGGCGGCGGCCGGGCCCGCGCCCAGGGGCTGATCGAGAGCGGGGGCTCGTCCCTTCCAATATGGCGCCGCCGCCAACAACACCCGCGCCTCGACTCAGCGAAAACAACATTGGCGGCGGACGGCGCTCGCAGCCGCCGCGCCGCGATTGGCTGCCCGCGGCACTGACGCACGGCGCGGACGGCGCGCCGGCCCGCGGCCTCACGGGAAGTGTAGTGTGTATGCGGGGAGGCGGCGTGTCCCGCCATGCCACGTCCTCCCGGCCGGTCTGCCGCGCTGGGGGCATTCCCGCCGTCCTTGCGGGCATTCCGGCCTTGCAGGGGCCGCGGGATTCTTGCAGCGCTGCTGCAAGTCAGGAGAATGGAAAGGGAAAACTTGCAGCTTCTTGACCAGACTTGGGGCTTTTGTTTGTTTTTAAGTTGTTGTTTTAAATGCTGGCAGTAGTGCATAAAAAGCATAAGAAATGTCAAAACTAATGAAATCGCTCCAATCTGTGTCTTCTCACGAGTGGCCTAAGGTAAAAGAGCTGCTCAGTTCAGCACAGGTCACAGGCAGTGACCACCTTACGACAGCAGAAATTTAGCGTGGGCTTTAGTGTTGCTGTTCAGAGTGCAAAAAAATAATTAGCTGGTAGCATTTATTGCAATCCAGTTAAAACACTTGTTGCAGTAATTTAAGTGTTTGTAGCTGAGGTTTTTCACGCAAATTCTATCCCCCAAGTAGTTTATTTCATCGCTCTTTTATTGCTGATATTTACTGCTCTAATTATGGACTGGTGTATTTATCCAGATTGGGTTTTTGACTGAGGAAAGGAATTTTTGGGGCTCGCATGATGTCAGGTGTAGGTAAAGGAGCATAAGAACTCTTGTAGCAGATCAGGCTTGTTTTCCACCACACTTTTTGTCTTCTCTTCATGTTCTCATCTGCACCATACACATCCGAGCAAGGAGAGAAAGTGGATGTTTCAGCCATATCTGAGTAAAAAACTTTAATGGGATGTTTTTGAGGGTCAAGACCAAGGGAAAATTACATTATTTTATCATGTGTTAAGTTCATACATTGTGAGTAGTTAGCTGAAGATGACTGAATTTTGGAAATTGAACCATAAATTTTGTATGTAGTCTGTATGTGGACTCATGGTAGCAATGTGTTGAATACATAGGGTATAGCTAAACATTTTTAATTCTTCTGTCATTAAAGGTGGAGGGGGGAAAAGGTATAATAATAACTTCTCAACTTTGCGAAAAAAGTGCTGTGCCAAAGTGGTCACTTTCCATGCTCACTCCATCATTAGCCATGTAGTCTGTACTGCCAAACCAGAAATATCAACCAGTTCAATATATACAAATGAACAGATTTTATATGGTCATTAAGCTCAATTAGCCTTAGTTGAAATAATCTGTATATGATTGCTTACACAGATCACTTTGGTGTACAGCTTCTGACACAATGGACTAGGAATGACAGTATTTTTGAAGTTTTGTGTGAAAAATTGCTTGGCCTGATTATGCTACGTAGAAGACAATACTGACTATTCCTGGCAAGATAAATACCTCTATGAGAGATAAAAATACGTTTTTTTTCAGTAAATAGGCGTATCGTGAAGTTGTTAGATATCCAAGTTCCAAGAGCTGAACTTGGGTATCAGGTCTCTTTCGGTGGGATAAGGGAAATGAGAAAATTCTTAAAAATCAAATCTTTTAAGGCCATTTTGTACACGAGGTTCCTTTTCTCTTTGGGCTAAGAACAAAGGAAGATCCATCACCTTTGACAGGAAATGGCTTGCAGCCAACTGGGAAAAGGAAAAACCCCTTTTCAGAGAAAAGAAACCTTTTTAGGTAAAAAAGAATACATTGAAACTTATATGAGAAGGGTGGGATTTTTGAAAACTATAAACTGTATAAGTTGAACGCTCATGGGGTCTTTTCTCCCCGAAAAACTTGGTGGGATGCTGAATAAATTCTTTGTTTCTTTGTTCCCTGAATTATGCCGTTTTTCTAAATTTAGAAGAGGGATTTTTCCCACACTTGCACTTTTATTGAAGTGAAAGGGTTTGATGCAGCAAGAGAGCTTAGCCCATGCAAAGTAGTGACATCCTATATTCATTAGGAGAAAAGCTAGGTGAATTTAGGGGATATCTGAATTGATGGGGTCACTTTCTTTTATGCTAAGTCATGGGTTTAATGTTTTCTAAAGAAAAAAAAAGTCATAGATATGTTTGGGAGTAGATTTCATGGAGCAGAAGTTTAAGAGAATCATATTGTACACAAAGATACCACTGTTAGAACCACAACTAAAATACAGTCCTTAGCCTTTGCTTCATGACCAAAATCCCAAGACAACACAGACATTGGGACCTTGTGACTTATACCGTGCTGCAGTTTGCAAGGCTGTGTTTGACACATCTTTGCAAGCTTGGGAATAGCCAGCAAAATTCTCACGGGGGGCTACTGTGCACAGGTATTTTCATCTGGTTTCTGTGGGTTGTGTCCAGACCAAGCAACCCAAGAAACATAGCTTTTGGGGCTGTGTCTCAGTCATTCCCATTAACAGTGGCATGTGCCCTGTCTATATTGGTAAAAAGGCAAAATGAAACTCAGGTATGCCACCAGAATGACGAAAGTACTAGTGGGGCTGGCTGCTGTCTTCAATGTATGTTTTGTGGTTTACTGGAATGTGAGAGAGTTTTATTAAAATAGAGACCTGCTTCAGAAACTGTTCATTGTAGTGCTGTACAGAAGGGGATGGGATTATGCAGTAGAATAGAAATGAAAATACAATTCAACCTTGTTCAGTATTTATTTAAAAGAAAATAGGAACTTATTTAGTTATCTGTAGTCCTCTTCAGTATTTTTTTTTTGACAAATGGAGAAACTTACATTTTTCATTTCTGCAAATGTTAACTCGTATAGTGAAATGAGTAGCCACCCCAACTTCAGTGGGATTGCTTGTGTAAATGGTGCTTATCATGACCAATGGCACTGAGTTTAAACTGACATTTAAGAAGTGATAAGCCACTCAGACCATAAAAAAGAAACTGTTTTTACAATGGGAATCTTCCTGTTGTGTATAAATGCAAAGAATTAACTCCATTGATTAACTCAGCTTTTAGAACAGCCTCACTAGAACAGCTCCTGATAAGGAAACATGTATTAGTGACTGTTTATTGGAATGCAAATATAGTGAAAAGGAACTAAATGCCAGCTGTGAACTCAAGGTAAAAAGAAATTTAATTTGTGAATTACAGTCAACATTGCTCAAAAAACTTCTGTGCATCAACAGAGCTGCTTAGCACAGGAAAGGAATGGAAGCCACAGGAGCTGCTGTTTTCTCCTGTTTATGTAATGTTATTAATGTTGATGGCATTTCGCCAGCAAATTTTTCACATAAATCATGTTTCATCACTGTGGCAGAGTGATGGCATAAAGGAATATTATAGTTGCCATGTGATCTACCTAAAGCTAATTGCTTGCATAGGTTTCATTAGTTTTCAGCTGACAGGAAAAAACCTGATTAAAAACATGGATTTATATTCTGATATACACTTCTCAGATGGGGTTAAGACTTTCCAATTTTCTCCCTTGCTTCTGCTCTTACCCATTCCAGATCTCTGTAATGTCCTTTTTCATTATTCTAATTTCTTCAATATCTTCCCACGTGTGGGGTTGTTTGACATGTCTAACTCCATCATTTCCATCATTGCATTTCACCTGCTATCTATCTCTCGGTCCCTCCCTTTCCTTGTTCCTTCCTAATCCATTGTCTTCTAAGCTGTATGATTGCTGGAGCTTTCTGTAACCATTTAGGACCATCCCAGTTATGTATTTACTTCAGTACTCTGATTTTTAACTCTTGTCTAATACAGTGTTACTGGACCTACAGTCCTAATGTTTTGGTTTTTTGTTTTCAAGGAGGACCTGTTTGAAATGCTTTGATTTGAAAAAAATCAGAAAAGACCTACCCAGCCCATTCCTAGATTGATACTCCAGGTTTCAGCTACTGCTGGTAGGTTCCTGTGCTTTGGTTTCTCGTGAGGGAGCCTCACTGCCCATGGTACACATAGATTGTGATGTTTCTGAGGGCTAAACTGCTGTCACAGAAGAACTGCGAGACAGAGTGACAGCTAAGTGGCATCCACCGGGGTGCAGCAGAGCCTACATACAACTGCAAGCCTGGGTAGCTCCTAAACTATGAGGAGCTGAGCAGTTTGCTTTTCTTTGGCACCTGCTTCTGCTGCACTAGAGCAGTCCTGTCTGGTGGGCCAGAATCCATTCACCACGGTACACTGCTGTGAGCACGTGTTGTGGATCGCAGCATTCCTAGCAGTATTGTCTGCCAATGTCAGTGTCAGGCTTGCTGATCTCACATGCTTTCAACTATTTTATTGTAATTCCTCCTCACTTCCTGTTTATTGCCTGCTATTTTTCTCCTATTTTGGCTGTTTTTCCATTCTTTTCAGTCCTCCCAGTTTCACAGTCCAGCTGTCCCTCCCAGATGTCATGGACCCCACCATATTCCAAATTCTACCCCTTCTGCTGCTGCAGGGGCATCACCCACAACATCACTCTCCCTCTGCAGGAAATAACAATCATTCCTGCTGTACTACACACCATGGCTATTGGAGGACTTTAGTTAAATTTAAATCACTGAATTGTCTTGGGACTGAGCACCATGTAAGGGTTACAGCATGATAGTATTTTTTCTGGGTAATCAACTTTATGTAATGGGAAACTCCATCCAAAGCTGGATCCTAGGAAAAAGCTGAGTCAGAGTATCAAGTACATAATGTTAC